GTTGAGGCATAATAAGAAATACGTAAATAGATTTCAATGAGAAAATCATAATAAACCATATAGTTTTCTAAGAGTCAGAGTGATTTATTCACCAATTGTACTTATGGCAGTGATACAACATACTGCTCAGATTGTGATGAACCTTCAGATTATGATTAGGCATAATAAACAAGTAAAAAAGCTAAAGTCGGGTGTCCCGACTTTGAAATACTCTGTACATATGTTTACAATAATTATAGAAAATAAAAAAAATTAAGAAAATAAAAAAAAAAATTTGATCGATTTTACCTCTCTCGGTATTTGAACTCACGTAAAGGGTGTATAATTGCACATTTACATAGCAATTGCGTCTGTGTGAGTGTATGTATGCCTATGCGCATCAATTCGTGTCTGTGTAAGCATTTATGGCTATAACTTCTTGTTAAATCGGTCTATCATAATGAAATTTGGCATACGGACACATAATAACTAACTGGGGGTATTTCCAAAATTTTAGTTCGAAATTCCAAGAATTACGGGAGTTACGATTTGCGTGGTAGAGGGGGGAGGGAGGGGAATTCCAAAATATATATTTTCTGCGTATTCACATAAGGCATCTGGGACTAAAATTTGGTGTTCCTAGGTCTTATAGTCTCCGAGATATAGGCGATTATACGAATGGAAAATCGGGAAAACCCCCATAGGGGGGAAGTGGGGGGAAAATCAAAAAAATAAAACAAACTCGTATAGAATACACACATAACGCATCTTCGTGCAAAATTTGGTGTCTCTATCTCTTATAGTCTCTGAGATCCAGGTGTTCATACGGACGGACAGACGGACAGACAGACAGACAGGGCTAGATCGACTCGTCTCGTCATGCTGATAAAGAATATATATACTTTGTGGGGTCTGCCACGCCTCCTTCTGCCTGTTACATTTTTCAGCTCCCGCAAACCTAATATACTCTTGTACATTTCATGTACAGAGTATAAAAATCCATAAATACACATTTTGGTGGAAAACTCGTCATATGATATACAGTTTTTAAACTTGTAACGCAGTAAAATTCTGCGTCACAAATTGTATTAGCTCTAAGATTTTTCTATTTGTATTATTTCTTGCACGGTTTTGAAGAGTGCCAATTTTTGTTACTAGTCTTAAGGTTCCACTACTGTTATTAGATCTAAGGTTTCACATTGAAGTTTCTATGCTACTAGATGTAAGTTTCAATTATATTTCACCGCACTACATACAGAAAGGGTTACGCAGCAAAGATCTTTTGAATAGGGGAAGAATAAACGAGCTGGCATCACCGCCCACGCGTGTATAGGGATTTTAGAAAAAGAGAATTAGGTCACACGAACGAAGGCGAGAAGGGCAAACGAAAACGGAAGCTCGCTCTCTTCTTCGGCGACCATCAAGACGACCAGACGTGTGTTAGCAGCGAGACATAGGATCAAATCCACGTAAGTTTTGGAAATCAGCCAATAAACGTGGTGCAATGTAGGGCCAATGGCAGCGAAATCCCGAATAAAAGGCAATCTTAAGAATATTTAAGAAATCCGCCCACGCTATGAGCGCAACTTACATATATACCAGGCTCGAGTCCGAATATATGTAAGTTGTGACTGAAAAAGCGAACAAGTGTTGATTGTTATATTGTTGCGTATGAGCCGGCAATATAACGTCAAAACGAGCCCTAGTCCGCCCCGCATTCTCCAGCACCAGCGGCTACAGTGGGCCTATTTCATGTATAGCGTGTATGAACCGCGATAGATGAAATAGTCCACTCGACCAACGGAGTTTTGGAGGTTAGTTTGCAGCGCATGAGCATGCAGACATAACGCCAAAACTACCGGCCGCAAGGCGACTGACACCCTACAGTGTGCATCGAGTCCCTCTTGTCGCATGGTCCCGTCACATTTATAAATTTTCTTGTAATGAACCCTGGACAGCTGAGTTATACCCCAGCTGGAAATAAAACTTCTTTACAAGTGGCGCCCGAGCAGGGACCCTGTGACAACGCTGAAAGAAAATTAAGGGAAAAATGGATTAAAGTCCCATATTCGATGCCACTGTAGGTTAGGAAATTATCATAGAAGCCGCACCATAGGAAATTTGGCACATGCCAAATTTAATGCACATACAGAAGCCCAAGCAACGGCTTAACACACGTACAAACACACAAGCAAATCCCACAACCGGCGCTCTCGCTGCTTTGCTCGACCTAACGGCTCGCGACACGAGCTGAGCAGCGCAGCAACGGCTGTATTCTCTCTCGATCCCGCTCGCGCTCTCTTGACGCCGACGCCGCCGTCGCGCAATGAGCAGCGCTAAGAAAAAATCCACTGAAACAAGCAACGACCGAAGCAGAGCAGTGAACATTTATATACGGTGCCAAAATAACAACAACAACGAGCAAGACATAGTGAGCAAGCAAAACTGACACAGTGAAATAATTAAAATATATATTTAAAAAAAAAATATAAATCCAACAACGAGCGGTCCAATAAAGTGGACGATACACAGTGGAAAAAAAAAAAAAAAAAAAATAAAACAAGCAGAGCAGTACAGTGAACACAGTGAGAAAACATGAAACAGTGAAAAAAAAAAGGACAACATCATAGAAGAATATAATACTTTTTTTTACATATTTTTTTTGATACCAACAAAAATCTACCCAGTGCAAACTATCACACAAGAAAAATTTTATTTTTTGTTTTTATGTGAACAAAACAAACCCAACAACACAGTGTAGTGACAATACGCAGCAACAGCGAACACCAAGCAATAATATTACAACGAAAGCAACAATATAAGAACAGTGAATAAGAATTTACAACAAAACAAACGCAGCACAGTGAGCGTAAAACAACAACAAAAGCGGCAGTGACAAAACAAAAGCCAAATGTGCAAACGAAAAGTGCATAGAGGCAGTGACGTCATCAGTGATGTGCAGGGTCGTCAGTGATGTGCCATGTCACTTGACAGACGAACCAGTGAGCCGATCCAGTTCGTCACATTGCCTCCATGGTTATTTTGTATTTTATTTTTGGTTTTTTTTAAGTGTGAGCAAAACCTGAACAACAATAAACAATAGCTGGAACAAAATAAATAAATAAATAAATAAAAATAAATGAAAGTGATTTTTTTTACATTGAAACAATACAACGATACAAGGACACATGCAAATAAATCCATTAAAACAAAACCATCCACCAGCAATAAGAAGACAGTAAGAAAAGAAAGCGAACAAAGATGAATCCAGAAATTCAGGGTGAGTACGTTCCAGTAGTCACTAGAAACCCTGGGGTGGGAACCGGCTGGATTTATAGCCGGTCGCAAGCAGAACTGGAAGAGTTCTCAGTCGAGTTCGGGTTCGACACAGCGAACCAACTCGACGATTTAAAACAGAATTTCGCGACGTTCATTGCGGGAAAGGCATTGCAGCGCGAAACTTGGGCTCGGTTGGCGGATCTCGAACGGCATTATACGTCGAAATTCGTACCGGCCCCAGTTCCTGAGTCTGGACAATTGCCGCGCACATCGATGACGGGTGCGCCGCGCGATTTCCAGATACCCGGAACTGCTTCGCCTGCATATCTCTCGCCCATTAATGATCGGCTGTTCTCAAATTGGCAACCAAAGCCAAACCTATCGACCGCAAGTCGCGCAATACGCTTCGAGGAACCAAACCAGAACCGGCCCACAGCAGGCAACGTTACGGCCTCAATGGCATGTCATACTACAAGTCCAGAGCGCATAAGAAAATGGGGACTTCGTTTTAACGGGTGCACAGACCCACTGGCATTTATAGAACAACTCGAAGAACGGGCTGTTTCCTACGACATCGAGTTCGACGACCTGCCACGCGCCATGCCGGAGGTTCTAACTGAGAAAGCTGCACTCTGGTTCCGCACAAGCCGACTCCAGAATGCAACATGGGAAACCTTTCGAAAAGAATTTCTAGAATTTTTCCTGCCCTCCAAGTATTTTCAGCGGCTAGAAGACGAGATAAGAACTCGCTTCCAAGTAGAGGGGGAAAATTTTAAAGATTTTGTCGTAGAGCTGCGAGCACTCATGCATCATGCCGGGTACACCGAGGCCCAAGAACTAGATCGTATTTATGAAAACACTTTGCCAGAATTTCAGTTATATGTACGCCGCCATGAATTCCGGACGCTGCCTCATCTTATCCAACTCATTGGAGAGTTGGAGAGTGTCAAGCAGCGTGGTCAGAGGCGCACGCCCATGGCCGCACCCTTCGCCAACACTTCACCGAGCAGGGCGCATACGCCTACCGCTGCAACATATGGCCGCGACGGAAACACGAGACCAACAACATTCGAAACGCCACGCAATCCGTTCCGACAACGACCGATGCCGCGGCTGGAACCACCGACGATGACGTTGGCGGTGCCGGGAATGCGGCAAGGTGGCAGTCGGGACGCAGCGAACCAAATGATGACACAGGACTCGCATGTTCCGGGCGATGCTCGACGAGCATGCAGGAACTGTGGCCAGCAGGGCCATTTCCAGGATCAGTGCCGTAACAGTCGGGTACTGTTCTGCTGGGAATGTGGACGGCGAGGCGTACGAACCCTTGCCTGTTGCCCACAGCGAGCATCGGGAAACGAGCAGCGTCTCCGCTCGACTGGGAACCCAGCGGAGACAGCGCAAGCAACACCCCCAGCCTAGATAGCCAGATGTATATGTGCGAAGGACGCATTGTGGCCAGAGTCCAGATAAGCGGTCAAAGCATAGTTGCCACAATAGACACCGGGGCAACTCGCAGTTTCATCAGCGAAACGTGCTTTGATACGGTGGCTCGACAGGACGAAATCCGCAGCGCCAGCACGAACATTCGGCTCGCCGATGGCTCCAGATGCGAGATAAGCAGAGCCTTACACACGAGCGTACGCCTAGACAATCGCACTGTTCGCATGACATTCCTGGTTATGCCCAACATGCTCGACCCCGTTATCCTAGGTATCGATTTCCTACAGACTATTGGCACGATGATACAATGCGGGACCGTTTGCCTGAAACTTGGACCAGGCGAACCAGAAGCCCCTATGCACAACGAGAATCCTGATCTACCCACTAGCCGGAGAAGAAGCACAACCAAGGTCACATCGCCGCGCCCTGCACCAGCCAAGAATACAAGCGTACCCGTCACTAGCCGGCAGGCCATAGAGAGGTGTTGTCAACAGCATGAAGATGACAATGAGGAGAACAAGGAACCACAGAGTCCCTCAACGACCACGACTACGCAGGCCAGCCCCTTCGACGTCACTGAATTGGCTGAAGAACCCGAGGAACCAGATTACGACTCGGTGTTACAACGAGAACCGGCAGAACCATGGCCACGGGACATACAGCTCAAAGCTCAACAGTTCCTAGACGAGGAGCTACCAAGATTTGACACGCTCAGTGGAGTCACGCATATGGCGAAGCACTCGATCGTCATGAGAGATAATCGCCCAATCAAGCAGCGATACTTCCCAAGAAATCCGGCCATGCAACGTATAATCAATGAACAAGTGGATGAACTCTTGGAGCAAGGATTAATAGAGCCTTCTCGGAGCCCACACAGCGCTCCCATTGTGCTTGTTCGGAAAAAGAATGGCAAGTGGCGTATGTGTGTGGATTACCGGCAACTCAATGAACGTTCAATTCCTGATGCGTACCCTCTGCCGCGCATTAACCACATACTGGAGCGACTACGCAACGCAAAGTTTATAACCACACTGGACTTGAAGAATGGCTATTGGCAAATACCCATGGCTGATGACAGCCGTGAATGTACAGCGTTCACTGTACCGGGTCGGGGTCTATTCCAGTGGCGTGTCATGCCATTTGGACTACACTCGGCGCCTGCTACGTTTCAACGCACTCTCGACACAGTCCTGGGCACAGACATGGAACCCAACGCTTTCGCCTATATGGATGACGTCATTATCATCGGCAAGGACTTTGATGACCACATCAGAAATTTGCGCGAGGTCTTCAGACGACTACGTCAGGCAAATCTCAGAATCAATCCAGAGAAATGCACGTTCTTCCAACAGAGATTGAAATACTTGGGCCATTTGGTCAGCAACCAGGGCATTCACACGGATCCTGACAAAGTTTCTGCTGTACGAAACTTGGAGCCTCCAACGAACTTGAAGGAACTTCGCCAATGTATTGGGATGGCATCCTGGTATCGCAGATTCGTGCCAAACTTCGCTGCAGTCGTGCAGTCAATGTCCCAACTACTCAAAAAGGGAAGAGTCTGGCGGTGGGGCGAAGAACAGCAAACAGCTTTTAATAATTTGAAATCTTTACTCACCACAGCTCCAGTGTTAGCATGCCCGGATTTTAACCACAAGTTCGTACTACAAACGGACGCTAGCAATCTCGGGATCGGTGCGGTATTAACGCAGGAGATCGATGGGCAGGAGCGGGTCATTTCATACATCAGTCGCAGACTGAGCAAAGCTGAGCAGAATTACTCTGCTACCGACAAGGAATGTCTAGCTGTGATTTGGGCAATCCGGAAGCTGAGGTGCTACCTGGAGGGCTACCGATTCGAGGTGGTGACCGATCACTTGGCACTCAAGTGGCTAAATACACTCGAGAGTCCCCTAGGAAGAGTTGCACGATGGGCGCTGGAATTGCAACAATATCAATTCGACATTCGCTACAGAGCCGGAAAGCAAAACGTCGTGGCCGACGCACTCTCCAGACAGCCTCTGGAAAACATGTATCGAATTGACGCAGAAGGAGAATCATCTTGCCCGTGGATTACGAACAAGATCAAGCAAGTACAGGAAGATCCACAGAAGTTCTCGGAGTACACCCTGGAAAATGGACAACTGTACCGAAACCTGGGTCACAGGCCAAACGACGACGATTACGTCCCGTGGAAGCTCTGTGTCCCTAGGAATCATCGTCGCCGTGTTCTCGAAGAGTGCCATGACGCTCCAACAGCGGGTCATCAAGGCATCCGCAAGACGATCATCAGGTTATCCCAGCGGTACTACTGGCCAGGGATGTATCGAGACGCCCGACGTCATGTTCAGAAATGTGAAAGCTGCCAACGATTTAAGGTCAATCAACAGAAGCCAGCTGGAAGAATGCTCACGAGGCAAGTCGATGAGCCATTCACGACACTATGCGCTGATTTCGTCGGACCTCTACCCAGATCCAAGCACGGTAACACTACACTACTCGTTTTCTTCGATTTGTTCTCAAAATGGGTCGAATTGGTCCCCCTTAAAAAGGCCACTGCCACCCATCTGGTACGAGCATTTAGAGAACGAGTCCTCAGCAGGTTTGGAGTCCCAAAACTCTTCGTGTGCGATACGGCACACAGTTCACGAGTCGGATATTCAAGAACTGCCTAAAGGAATGGGGAGTCGACGTCCAGCATACAGCACCGTACTGCCCCCAGGAGAACCCAACAGAAAGGGCAAATCGGACAATCAAAACGATGATATCGCAGTTCATCAACGGTGATCAGAACACCTGGGACGAGTTGCTGCCGGAGATTACTCTGGCCATCAACTCCAGCGTCTCAGACTCTACTGGTTTCAGTCCAGCCTTCGTAGTACAAGGGCGAGAGCCAAGACTCCCAGGCGCACTATACGACGAGGTGACGCCAGCCACTGGAAGCGAATCTCAAACGCCTGCCGAGAAAGCAGCCCGTTTGAGGGAGATATTCTCCATAGCACAGTCCAACATGCAACGAGCCACGCAAGATCAACAACGCCACTATAATTTACGCCGCAGAGAATGGAGACCGAAACTAGGATCCCTTGTCTTACTTCGACAGCATCACCTTTCGAAAGCTGCCGAAGGATTTGCTGCAAAACTAGCACCGAAATACGACGGACCATTCAAGGTGGTCAAGTTCGTATCCACATACGTCGTACGCATCCAACGTGTGGGAAGCCGGAGGAGACAAATTGCCAACGTGGCCGACCTAAAAGAGTACCACACTGATGCAGCGAACAACGACGACGACGACACAGACATCCTCGAGGCTACCCACAACCCTCAGGATTAACCAAGAGAGCACTCGCCAAGCCCAAGTAGTGACCCACTTCCTGAGTATTAGCCAGAAGACATGGCGCACTTACTTGGACGAGTAAATTAGATAATAAGGGGTATTAGCCAGAGACCCCACACTCACACTAGTTTACCTTACGCGCAAGCCACACCTCTAAAGCGGAATAAAAACCTGCAAAAACAAAGTTAATAACAAGAAATTTTATCTTCCACAGCAAGAACAACTTTCGTTAAGCCAAGATGGAGAGAAATACTGGAAGCAGTGCGTGGCAATCGTCGCCGGAGCAGGATTGGGAGGACGACAAGTCTACGTCCCCATACCTTCCCCAATACCAGGACGGCCAGTCACCAGATGACCCGTCCCCAGCCAGCAGCGCTCCCAACAACGAGTGGCTATCCTCATCGGAGCCAGAGAACGACGACGGCCAGTCCGACGAACGATTCAGGACAACACTGCAGCGGGATGAGTGGGACTGGCAAGAGTCACCACCACCTCCCAGCTCGGAGAGCGACACCCCACCGGAACGGCACTATCCCGACAATGTGCGCGAGGTGTACGACGAGGACGCACCACCTCACCGCGGCTTTCGAGGCCCCACATATCCGCCCCGGTTCCAGGGCCATCAAGACGGCGGCTCCTACTCCAGGTCACCAAAGCCGGAACCCCGACGCGACCCAAGGAGCGGACGAGGGGTATACAAGCCCGCCGAGCCGCAGACTGAGCTGGAGCATTACACAGCCAGTCCGGCCAGCGAGTCCAGCAGCGACGACGAGCAAGTCTATTACCGGGAAGTGGTAGCATCTGCCGAAAACTACCAGCACATCACCACTCCCTATGGTGCCCGAGTGACCCGCAACACCACTACTACTGTGGATATCTTCTTACCCCCGGGAGAGACGATGAGCTCAATGTTCAACGTACCGAGAGAGTCACGGCAAGCACTCAGGGGTCGTGAGGAGGCTCGATGCATGCGCGTCGAGCTGGAAGCGACCACCGATGACCGGACCAGCAACCGACAACCAGAAGCGGCAAACTACACGCGGAACAACCGCAACGACAGTTCCCAGCGTCAACCAAGGCGGAACACCTCACCCGAGACTGTCCAACGGCCTACCTGGGAGCCGGCAACATCGGACGAAGAGGACAACCGTCCCCTCTTTCGTCGGCGGTACTCACGAGCCCCGACCAACGCGACCACCAGCGAAGCAGCACCAGCAGAGTGGGTTGTGGCACCGACGGGATGGAAGGTCGACACGAAAGACCGGAAAATACCCCAGGCCCTTGTCGAGGACGTCATGTCAGGGATGCACAAGCGCACCCGGGCCCGTTACTCCAAAGAACTGGACGGGCAACGATTCCAAGTGGAGCGGACGAAGACTCGGAGGGTTTTGATCCATTTGACCCCCCGAAGAAAGGAGAGGATGTAACGCAGTAAAATTCTGCGTCACAAATTGTATTAGCTCTAAGATTTTTCTATTTGTATTATTTCTTGCACGGTTTTGAAGAGTGCCAATTTTTGTTACTAGTCTTAAGGTTCCACTACTGTTATTAGATCTAAGGTTTCACATTGAAGTTTCTATGCTACTAGATGTAAGTTTCAATTATATTTCACCGCACTACATACAGAAAGGGTTACGCAGCAAAGATCTTTTGAATAGGGGAAGAATAAACGAGCTGGCATCACCGCCCACGCGTGTATAGGGATTTTAGAAAAAGAGAATTAGGTCACACGAACGAAGGCGAGAAGGGCAAACGAAAACGGAAGCTCGCTCTCTTCTTCGGCGACCATCAAGACGACCAGACGTGTGTTAGCAGCGAGACATAGGATCAAATCCACGTAAGTTTTGGAAATCAGCCAATAAACGTGGTGCAATGTAGGGCCAATGGCAGCGAAATCCCGAATAAAAGGCAATCTTAAGAATATTTAAGAAATCCGCCCACGCTATGAGCGCAACTTACATATATACCAGGCTCGAGTCCGAATATATGTAAGTTGTGACTGAAAAAGCGAACAAGTGTTGATTGTTATATTGTTGCGTATGAGCCGGCAATATAACGTCAAAACGAGCCCTAGTCCGCCCCGCATTCTCCAGCACCAGCGGCTACAGTGGGCCTATTTCATGTATAGCGTGTATGAACCGCGATAGATGAAATAGTCCACTCGACCAACGGAGTTTTGGAGGTTAGTTTGCAGCGCATGAGCATGCAGACATAACGCCAAAACTACCGGCCGCAAGGCGACTGACACCCTACAGTGTGCATCGAGTCCCTCTTGTCGCATGGTCCCGTCACATTTATAAATTTTCTTGTAATGAACCCTGGACAGCTGAGTTATACCCCAGCTGGAAATAAAACTTCTTTACAAACTAAAAGTTACTTATTCACAAATTGTTCCTTTGAATGCTATATGATATGTTGAGGCATAATAAGAGATCCGCAAATAGATTTCAATGAGAAAATCATAATAAACCATATAGTTTTCTAAGAGTAAGAGTGATTTATTCACCATATAACATACTGCTCAGATTGTGATGAACCTTCAGATTATGCTTAGGCATAATAAAAAATCCATAAATACACATTTTGGTGGAAACTCGTAATATATACAGTTTTTAAGCTAAAAGTGACCCATTCACAAAATGTTCCTTTGAATGCTATACGATATAGTGCTCCGAATTTGAGGCCTTTTCAGATTATATTAAGGCATAATATGAAATCCGTAAATAGATTTCAATGAGAAAATCATAATAAACCATATAGTTTTCTAAGAGTAAGAGTGATTTATTCACCAATTGTACTTATGGCAGTGATATAACATACTGCTCAGATTGTGATGAACCTTCAGATTATGCTTAGGCATAATAAAAAATCCATAAATACACATTTTGGTGGAAACTCGCAATATATACAGTTTTTAAGCTAAAAGTGACTCTTTCACAAATTGTTCCTTTGAATGCTATATGATATGTTGAGGCATAATAAGAAATACGTAAATAGATTTCAATGAGAAAATCATAATAAAACATATAGTTTTCTAAGAGTAAGAGTGATTTATTCACCAATCGTACTTATGGCAGTGATATAACATACTGCTCAGATTGTGATGAACCTTCAGATTATGCTTAGGCATAATAAAAAATCCATAAATACACATTTTGGTGGAAACTCGTAATATATACAGTTTTTAAGCTAAAAGTGACTCTTTCACAAATTGTTCCTTTGAATGCTATATGATATGTTGAGGCATAATAAGAAATACGTAAATAGATTTCAATGAGAAAATCATAATAAACCATATAGTTTTCTAAGAGTCAGAGTGATTTATTCACCAATTGTACTTATGGCAGTGATACAACATACTGCTCAGATTGTGATGAACCTTCAGATTATGATTAGGCATAATAAACAAGTAAAAAAGCTAAAGTCGGGTGTCCCGACTTTGAAATACTCTGTACATATGTTTACAATAATTATAGAAAATAAAAAAAATTAAGAAAATAAAAAAAAAAATTTGATCGATTTTACCTCTCTCGGTATTTGAACTCACGTAAAGGGTGTATAATTGCACATTTACATAGCAATTGCGTCTGTGTGAGTGTATGTATGCCTATGCGCATCAATTCGTGTCTGTGTAAGCATTTATGGCTATAACTTCTTGTTAAATCGGTCTATCATAATGAAATTTGGCATACGGACACATAATAACTAACTGGGGGCATTTCCAAAATTTTAGTTCGAAATTCCAAGAATTACGGGAGTTACGATTTGCGTGGTAGAGGGGGGAGGGAGGGGAATTCCAAAATATATATTTTCTGCGTATTCACATAAGGCATCTGGGACTAAAATTTGGTGTTCCTAGGTCTTATAGTCTCCGAGATATAGGCGATTATACGAATGGAAAATCGGGAAAACCCCCATAGGGGGGAAGTGGGGGGAAAATCAAAAAAATAAAACAAACTCGTATAGAATACACACATAACGCATCTTCGTGCAAAATTTGGTGTCTCTATCTCTTATAGTCTCTGAGATCCAGGTGTTCATACGGACGGACAGACGGACAGACGGACAGACAGACAGACAGGGCTAGATCGACTCGTCTCGTCATGCTGATAAAGAATATATATACTTTGTGGGGTCTGCCACGCCTCCTTCTGCCTGTTACATTTTTCAGCTCCCGCAAACCTAATATACTCTTGTACATTTCATGTACAGAGTATAAAAATCCATAAATACACATTTTGGTGGAAAACTCGTCATATGATATACAGTTTTTAAACTAAAAGTTACTTATTCACAAATTGTTCCTTTGAATGCTATATGATATGTTGAGGCATAATAAGAGATCCGCAAATAGATTTCAATGAGAAAATCATAATAAACCATATAGTTTTCTAAGAGTAAGAGTGATTTATTCACCATATAACATACTGCTCAGATTGTGATGAACCTTCAGATTATGCTTAGGCATAATAAAAAATCCATAAATACACATTTTGGTGGAAACTCGTAATATATACAGTTTTTAAGCTAAAAGTGACCCATTCACAAAATGTTCCTTTGAATGCTATACGATATAGTGCTCCGAATTTGAGGCCTTTTCAGATTATATTAAGGCATAATATGAAATCCGTAAATAGATTTCAATGAGAAAATCATAATAAACCATATAGTTTTCTAAGAGTAAGAGTGATTTATTCACCAATTGTACTTATGGCAGTGATATAACATACTGCTCAGATTGTGATGAACCTTCAGATTATGCTTAGGCATAAAAAAATCCATAAATACACATTTTGGTGGAAACTCGTAATATATACAGTTTTTAAGCTAAAAGTGACTTATTCACAAAATGTTCCTTTGAATGCTATATGATATGTTGTTGATATAACATACTGCTCAGATTGTGATGAACCTTCAGATTATGCTTAGGCATAATAAAAAATCCATAAATACACATTTTGGTGGAAAACTCGTCATATGATATACAGTTTTTAAACTAAAAGTGACTTATTCGCAGAATGTTCCTTTGAATGCTATACGATATAGTGCTCCGAATTTGAGGCCTTTTCAGATTATATTAAGGCATAATATGAAATCCGTAAATAGATTTCAATGAGAAAATCATAATAAACCATATAGTTTTCTAAGAGTAAGAGTGATTTATTCACCAATTGTACTTATGGCAGTGATATAACATACTGCTCAGATTGTGATGAACCTTCAGATTATGCTTAGGCATAAAAAAATCCATAAATACACATTTTGGTGGAAACTCGTAATATATACAGTTTTTAAGCTAAAAGTGACTTATTCACAAAATGTTCCTTTGAATGCTATATGATATGTTGTTGATATAACATACTGCTCAGATTGTGATGAACCTTCAGATTATGCTTAGGCATAAAAAAATCCATAAATACACATTTTGGTGGAAACTCGTAATATATACAGTTTTTAAGCTAAAAGTGACTTATTCACAAAATGTTCCTTTGAATGCTATATGATATGTTGAGGCATAATAAGAAATCAGTAAATAGATTTCAATGAGAAAATCATAATAAACTATATAGTTTTCTAAGAGTAAGAGTGATTTATTCACCAATCGTACTTATGGCAGTGATATAACATACTGCTCAGATTGTGATGAACCTTCAGATTATGCTTAGGCATAATAAAAAATCCATAAATACACATTTTGGTGGAAAACTCGTCATATGATATACAGTTTTTAAGCTAAAAGTGACTTATTCACAAATTGTTCATTTGAATGCTATATGATATGTTGAGGCATAATAAGAAATCCGTAAATAGATTTCAATGAGAAAATCATAATAAAACATATAGTTTTCTAAGAGTAAGAGTGATTTATTCACCAATCGTACTTATGGCAGTGATATAACATACTGCTCAGATTGTGATGAACCTTCAGATTATTTTTTATTTTTTTTTTATTTATAAAAAATCAACAAATTTACTGTCAATAAATAATTGATAATATTAGAAAGTAAAATAAAGATATTTATAGTATTACATTATAAGTTAAACTTAAAAGATAAGAAAGCTTAAGGGAGAGCTATACAATGACGTCTATGAATGCCTCCGACACGTTGGGGGAATTTTATTTGCCAGTTGGCCAGCTATGCCCCGATTCACAGCCAAATGTGTTCAGAGACATTATAGACCTAACAAACTAAACAAATAGCAAGTAGAAGAGAAGAATTAATTCTACTTAAGAACTAATTAGAAAAAGTAAGGTGTAGAAAGAGGAAGAGGAAAAAGAAAAAATAAGAGGGAAAGAGAGATACAAAGACAGAGAAAAAGAAAGAGGTAAATCTCCAACCCGGTGGGGGAAAATTTAAATGCCAGTCCGGCTAGCTATGCCCCG